TGGTTTCTCTTTAATTTTATGCCCCAAATTAGCAACAAACTTTTACTCTCAATTTTTTGCATATAATAAGTAAACTTTTTCCTTGGCTTTGCCCTTTTGCAACTGAAATTTTCCTAATACATAATCCAAAACCTCTTTTCACTCATTTATACTACTCGTTTACGTGATTCTATTCAGATAAATTTAAATACTATCTTGATTACGTGCTTTCGATTTTTTTCATTTTGATTCTTATGCTTTCAAAACATCTATCTTGATCTTGTATTTTCAAATTTTGTTCATTTTACTTCATGTATCTTCAAAACGTCTATTTTGGTCCATGTGCTTTTGTTAAGCGACCATTTTGGTATTCTTCGTCCTCTTGTTTATCTTATTTCTTTCGATTGTAGTTTTAACTACTTCACTCACTAAATTTCTTTAAATATAGCCATAAATTTGTATAAAAGGATTTTCACTGTATATGACATTTGTGTTAGAACTTTGCAAATAGGAATCAAATTGGTCACTTTTTAAAAGTATAGGAACCAAAATGAACGTTTTGAAAGTACAAATACTAAAATGAACAAAAGTTGAAAATACAGAGATTGGATACTCTGTATTTTCCTTGGCAAGCAAATGTAGTAGGTTCAGACAGTCCCGTGAGATTAGTCGAGGTGCACGCAAATTGGCCCGAACACTTACAGATATCAAAAAAAAAAAAATAGAGACCAAAATGAAGTTTTGAAATAACATGGACCAAAATAAACCAAAGTCAACAGTAGATGGACCAAAATAGTATTAATCTAGAAGGTTGAAAATTGAACAAATCTCCTAATTACGAAAACTTTTTTTTAACAACACAAAGTTATGAAAACTAGCTTAAGAGACAAAACTTACTAAAATCCGATTGAAATGATCGAAACCAATGTGATAAAACAAACCAAACTAACCAAAAAAAAATGAGTTTATGAATTTTTACGGATATTTGTTAGTCAAATTGACTGGATCAACTCATTTTAGTTGTCAAAATGAGTCTAAGTTAACAGTAATTTACACATATTAATATTTCTGACAAAAAAAAAGTCGTGAGTTCGAATTCTCACTCCATGTTCTTTCTGACCAAAAAGAATCGCGAGTTCGAATTCCCACTTCATGTACTAAAAAAAACTAGGTTGAGTCAAATTCGTCAATTTTTTCAATTTCTTCTATCACCTTTAGCATTTTGGGATTCAGTTTCATTTCTTTTATGTATTTTAATTCATGTATTATTATAGAAATAAAATTTTAGTTTCTAACATTGTTTACCTTATTCAGCAGGAAATATTAACACAAAACCTTTAATTTAATTTTGCAATATCAACTTAAACATAGCATAACTGATTAAGACATATATTTCCAATCGAAGATTGTGGGTTCAAGTCTTCAGCCTGAATATCGACCAAAGAAAAACGAGAGAATATGAGAGTTGCAATACGTCACCGAATATTGTGATAGATATTGATGTTTTTGACAATATTGACAAAACGTTACAAGAACGACATGACACTTACCTTTCCCATACTATTGTCGATAGGTAAATTTAGCGATATATCGTGAATATTTTACCATCAATACACATCTACTAATCAAGTAAATGAAAAAAAAAAATGTTTATGCTAGGACTATGCTAAATAAATTTTTGGTTAAATTACTAATTTACTCTCTATGGTTTAAGCTTAAATTCAATTTGGTTCTTGTGAATTTAATTTTATCTTCATCATCTACGGTTTGGTTAAATTTTACGAATGGTCCCTATCATTATCATATCAAGAACATGGCACATCATTTTCAAGTGAAATGTATTTATATTTGTTTGATTATGTTAGTTGACTGTATTAGAGTTCAAGACTAAGTTAAAAATAATAATAATAAGAAGAAAATAGTGAGTAATTTTCTAGTAGATAAGAGAACATTTAAGATTGGATAAAACCATTTTTACTCACTCATTCAAATTCTAACCAGGAGAGAAATACTGAAAGAGAGATAACTTCTCTTTTTCAAAAACCCAAACAAGGGTGAAATAGGTACTGACGGGAAGAAAAATATAGAACGGACAAAGCGACAGAAGGGGAGTCGTCAAAGACCGTCGCCCAGGTTAACCCAGACGACCCATGGTTGACCTTGAGCAGTGCTCGGAGCCGAGGTGTTCTTGACCTTTTAATTTGATTCCCCTTGATTCTTGTGCATCCTAATCCGAAATCCCGCCTTATCTCGACCCTTAATCTAACATTAGGTCCACAACGAAACACATTAGTCTAGAAGTCTAGATCTCTTAAAGATACTAGGATTCGACTTCTGTAAATCCTAGGGAATATTGGAGCCGGTGTGACAAGAGCACACCGATTTTAGTGCTATTCTATTTTACAGGTCTCATCGATCCCTTTATTCTAGAAGATTGGTGCGAATTTGGTAGAATCTCAAGAGGTCAAATTTCTGCAAATACTTACCCATCAACACTCAAATATTACTCTTCTAAAAATAATTTTACAAACATTTACTACAATTATGGCATTAATATTATGATCACTTCTTGGAAAAAAAAAAGTAAATCATTAATAAATTATTCAAGCCTCATTTAATCCTGTTCCTCCTATGCTAACTTGAGTATAGCTCAATTGATTCAAACCAAACAATTATGACTTCGAATCTCACACTACTGTTGTTTGTTAAATTTAAGAAAATATTAAATAATAATAATAATTAAATAATGCTTTCCAGCAAAGCCACACCCCATCTTTCTACAGATACAACAAGAAGACCAGATCTGCCATTTTCTTTCTTTTTTTTTCAGTGCTAAAGAAAATTTTGCAGTTATTTTATTCTTAACTTGTCTCCATGTGGCTTTCACTAAATTCTTCCAAAGAGTTGGTTTCTCTTTCACACCATAATCCATATAATATAATTCAGCTTCCCACAGCTTTTTCTCCATCAATCAAACTTTAGCCATCTTAATCACACAACCCAGTTGACCTTTTAATCTTATTTTTCACAAAAATCACATCTTCTTCTTTTCTTCTTTTTCCCCCTTTGTATCACTGTTGTTCTTGAATATAGTTGAGTGAAGCTTGTAAATGTAAAGATTATTGTGTGTATGAATCACTATTCATAGTTGTTGATGGCAAGGTGACATGGCTGGCAGATTTGGCTGAGGATCCTCGGTGATCTGAGCTGATGCGGCAGAGCGTCACTCGCCTGAGGTAGTACCTGTGATAAGCGCCAAGGTTGCTCGGGTTTACAAAGCTAGAGGTCCTTCTAGGATCCTTGCAAACATTCACAAAAACGACTAACTTACCGAATGATTCCAACCAAGAGTAAGGTTAGAAGATGAATCACTCTTAGATCGGACTTAGAATCTACGATGGTCACTCCTAGATCCTAAGACGACTCACTCCAGAATTAGCTTGATCGAGACTAATCCAATGAATCGGTTTAACATCAAACCTAAAGCAAGATTTGAAAGAAGCAACACCAAAAGTGTTAAGGAACAAAAGTTCTTGAATTTCAATATGTTTTAATCTTAAGTTATCCATAACAAGAGCATTACAAGCCTTTAAATAGGCCAAATGGTCGTTCAACATAAGAACACCAAAGATTTTTCAAAATACTACTTA